GGAAGGCCTGGCGCAATATGGTTCATGGGGTCACGAAGAGTCGGACACGACTTAACGACTAAACAACAACAAAAAATCATCTTCTCACAGGAAGGAGAAGTTGCCACTAAACAAAAAACCTTATCACATTCCAGAAAGAGAGATACAATATAGAAAGAAATACAAGACTTCTACAGCTAATTAAGACAGTTAAGTGGTCTTAAAATTGGTTTTTAAGCCTCAACCTAAATCAGATTTTATACAGACTTAAGATATCACAACCAAGAAACCAAGTTTGAAGTTACCCTCTGCCTATAGCAGATGACCTACTAGCTCAGTTGAGAAGGGTAAAATACTTAAGCCAGATTTAGTAATGTCTATTTGCAAATTTCTCTCAAAGCAACCCCAAAGAGAAAACAGCTTTTACTACAATTCAGGGGCTATTCTAGTTTCATATATGACTTTTGGTTGTAATAAAGTTCCTGCAACCTTTCAGAAATTCATGGACAAAATTCCTCCATGCTGGGGGAGGTACTATGAAGCATGTCTGGACAATATCATTATTTACAACTCTGGAAGAATATCTGCAGCAGTTGAAGAATTTATTTCCAGTCTTGAAACAGCAGGCTTAACTATCTAGCCAAAGATTATCTGGGGTTTTCTGAACTGCTTTACCTAGGTTACAGTGGGGCAGCAAGAAGTTAACCCAGATGGAAAGAAGTTTCAAGTTATTCAGCAGATGTAGCCTCCAACCACCAAAAAGGAAGTAAGATCATTTTTGGGATTTGTGGGATACTATGGATGGTTTGTTCCTCATTTTTCCACCAAGGCAGAAGTCCTCACAGACCTAACAAGAAGGAACTTGATAAAGTTCACTGGTCTTCTTCACTACTAAAATATATTAAGATTGTGAACTCCTCATAAATTCTAAGGTCATGTTGAATCAATAATATCGTTTTCAAATATAATTAATATATGTACTTCTTTGAAACTTTCTTCAGAAAATAGTAAGGGAGGTTCCTTCCATTCTACCGTCTGTCCTTCCTTTTTTACTTTATCTAGCATGCAATATTTTTTTATTTATATGTGGGTGTGTATATACATACACACATTTTTAATGCTGGCTGACAACAGGCTATAAATACATGGTTTTCCACTCAGAAGTACTGTACAGAACTGTAATCCATTATCTGCTTTTCTGTTGAAAAAGTATATCTCAAAGTACTGGAGTGTGGATTTTATATGCATGTTTCTGAAAGATGCTATTATAAATTGTACTGTCTTAACTTTGGGCTGGGCTGGAAAATTAACAAACTGTCATTTCCTCCGCTTTAAGTTATAACTTATTTTCAACAAAATTTTACAAAAATCAAAGTAAATCCTGAATATTGAATTATGGAATAAACTTAGCACCAGCTCTTCTTGCCATTAGTATTTCATACCCTGATATTTTTAAACAGTCCCTCCTGTAAGAATACCTTCTGGTAGCCTTACATGGCTCACCTGAAAGCAAGTAGTCTATCTACTTATCTAGCAATCTATTTCAGTTTACCAGCTGCCTATTCACAAGATACCCTAGGCATCTAACAACATTAATACTAGCAAAAAATACAAATAAAGGACATCCAGGAAAAAAAAAATCTTTAAAAAGCACACATGTGCACTGTAGCACCAGGGTCAAAAATCACTTTACCTAAAGCTACTACTACTAAATCACCTACAATACCTCCCCCCTTTTTTTTTTAAAGAAAACTTATATTGGGTGAGATTTGTCAGGACAAATGTACATGATACATACCAGTCAGAAGCCAATTCTACTCTGTTATATGGTGATTCTTATCACATGACCAGAAACAAAATTTCTTTAAACCTTTAGCAGACTGGTCCAGATACAATTTTAGCTAGGATACTTTCATATGGGTTTTGCTCTGTTCCAGAAATAACTTCTTGGAAATGTGACCTATGTTCACAGTTGTCCTTTTGGTTTAGCAGCAATGAATACCAAAGGTGATGTTTCCATTTAAAATGCTGAAGTTCTATGAAGATTATGGGGAAGGTCATTCTCCCTGTCTCTCATAGTCCAGCTACTAAAGGATCATGCTGAGACAATATTATGGAGTTCTTGGTGCTCTCTGAGCTTGGTTGTTTGCTTGCAGATGTTTCATTACCCAATTAGGTAACATCATCAGTGTGAATGGGTGTGGGGTTTGCTGCCTGTTTATATGCAGTAGCTTGCCCTGTCAGTTTTAGTAGGAGTGTAGTTTTCTCCTTGGTGGTACCTTGATTAGAGTATTAGCAACAGATAGTCCCTTCTATTGAGAAAATATTATTTCATGAGTCTTCTAAATGCAGCTGAGGAAAATTGTCTTGACATTTTCTTCTGTTAGTAACCATTCAGGGTTGTTTTTGTTTTGAAAGTCATATCCAAATGCACACAAAATGAATCTAAACTTTGAATAGGAAGGGCATCATAACTTTTTTTACACTCCCCTAATGGTCAGGTCACTTCAAGGGAACACTCAACTGCAAGGTCAGCAACAGAGATTTTCACAGATCACCAAACCAACTGCTTTTGAGGGATTGGCCAACAGAAACATTGGTCCAGAATTGTGATGGAATGGAATTATGAAGGCCAGGCTCAGGGAGATAAGCGTGTTCTTAGTTCAGTGCAAGAGCGTGGGAAGTTCAAGAGGATGAGGCTGGCACCTCCCTGAGGAATTTACGGTGTTGTGGCTGGCTGGCTGGCTTGGGAGCTA